ATTATTTAAGTGCCATCATGAACGAAGAAGGTTAAACAAATTAGGTATTTAAGAGGGTGGCTACCCAAACTAGGTGAGTGCGTTTCGATTAAGACCGATGTCAAAGACTTACCCGCTCTGGACCAAGTCCTGACCTCAGTCCTGCTTACCTAAGAGATATCTCTGCACTTAGGTAAGTGTTTCTCCCGACGTCAGTGCCTCTTACCTCAGTGTTGACTTCTTTGAAAAGTGATTTAACACTTACGTCAGAGAAAACTGAACTGACCTCAGAGCAAATTGCACTGACCTCAGTGGAAAATTCACGGATCTAACACTTGCTATTTTTACCAGGGTTGATGACCGTCTGGATCATTTTTGCTATCGGTCCGATGGTCCGCGCTACTAAACCAATAATCCTTAGGAGATTCTTAACTTCGGAACCTGTCTTGAGATAGCCAAGATATGCTCGATCGATCGCTCCGCCGGTTTCTTAGTCGTCGTCCTCTTCTTCTTCTTCGGTTCCGGTCTCGACTTCTTCGCTCGTGTGTAAATGTTGTCAGGTTTCACAAATAATGAAATAATTTATCTATTTGCACCGTGTGGCAACGATAGTGCATTACCTATACGTTGAAGGATAAACGTCATTGCATAACCCGTAAATTGAAGGGGAAAGATGGAATACTTTTTACAGCGTCGCCAAATGGTCCAATTACCACCCCATAAAGCCCTAAGTTAATTCCATTTTTTGCACAATTTGGCCATATACTTTCGCGCTTATGTCCTCGCATTCCGTCTACGTATGTGCACAGGAAAAAATAGTCATCTTTTGAGCCGAAAAATCGATCCTGAAAGTTAAGTACGTTAACTTCCAGACACCCTATAGAAGACGTCTCGACTCTCTGTTGATCTCGTTCATATTTTACAGGTTGGGTGAAGAGTACCAAGACATTAATGATAAATTGCTGTCTCCCCCTGCTAACACTGCAGAGTTAATGGCTCTGAAAGCTTTTGTGGTTGAAGTGGAAACTGTTATTTTACATAATATGGAACTTAAACTTCAAGGAGTTATGTCATATATAATCTTACTCTCCGACTACGTGTTGATGAATAGTTCAGAAATGAAGCAGAACTCATGCACATTTCAATGGTACTTAAGGTTGCCTCAAATTTTCCAAGAGAATTGTTTCTTAGTCGAAACAAAAACCGTCGAATTTCAAGATTTGTTGATGGTAAGATTTTAAGATCTTTCAATTAAATTCTACCCTTATCCTTCGCATCTAATGTTCATGTTTTTTTTTTTTTTTTTTTAATTTGAGCCGTCTAATTTTTTTATGTATTTTTCACATTTTAACGGTTCCTTTCCTTTTTTCTGTATTTTTGTGGGGGATGGTAAGTTTGAAGCTTTCGTCTTCAGGATTATACTATCATAACTCCACTTTTTTTCTCTCTGTACTTCAGAACCGGATCAAAGTTTTTAGACAAGATTTGAAATTTTATGCAGAGCAAGTGGAGGAATTTGAAACCTACGGAGATATTAATGAGTTGGCCTCTTACCTGAAAAAAGCTCGAAGTCTTGATAAGCTTCTGGCAGATGGCTTGGAAACAATCAAGTTATTCAACGTAGAAGAATCAGCTTTTGGTTGGCAAGAGTCTCACTATCCCGTTAGGAAGCAGGTTTGTTCAGCTGTTTGGCATTTTTTAAGACTTCTACATTCTTACAATGGGCCTGTTGCAAACTTTTGCTACAGCAAAACTAAGATTTGTTTCTTATAGATAATGCCTCAAAAATCACGATGAGCGCATTGGCAAAGTCTGAAATGCACTCATAACTTCACAATCTGTGTAAGAAATTTGCGGTTTTTTGAGCTTCCCGCTTCAAAAACGATACTACGGCATAGGTGAACATTTTGTTAGAGGAGGCGTTCCATCGTCGGCAATATTCATCATGGCTAAAGTCCCTTTATACTGAGAGTCAAGACAACACCCCCTCATGGAGTCACGAACGGGAATAAAGATTAGAGTCCCTTTATACCCAGAGTAACGACAACTCGATTATCAGCTGACTGGCAGCCGACCTTGGCTGGCCATGGAGGCCGAAACTAGTGCACTCAAACGAACGATATTGAGGGATAAGGATCAGGAATCCTGCGATGTCTGTCACACAAAAACAACAACATCAACAAATTGATCAATTAAAACGAAAATTAGATTGGTTTGTGAATAATTTCTCAATCTATTTTCATTTTAGACCGATGGAAATAACAATTTACTCTTGATAAACCACAATTA